ATTTGATAAGACACTATGTCAAATGTAAGCATTATTATTATTACTGGTTAAGTGACTTGCAATCAAACACATAAATTTGAAGTGAACACACTGAAAAAGGATCATAAACAAAATCTTTTATTTTATGTTATAGTGTATTTCTCTTTCAGGTGCTTTTTTTTCTTCTGGGAAGTTTGTTCATTTCTATTTATCAACATTCTGCTTTTTTATTTTTGTTTATCTTCCTGAATTAGTGAACACAATTCTGTTTGGATTGTTATGCCCACAGGACCCAATAGAGGGAGCTACTATATTGCAGAAGATGTGAACTTCCCATTACAATTACCACTATTCACCACACTGTAAATACAGTAAAATGTTAGACATCACTGTGTGTGTTGGACTTCCAAATATATTTTTGTGCAAAAAGAACATGCATTTATGCAGATTCACATATTTGGCTTGTATATATACATATAGATGAACACTGCATATTCAAATCTGTATATTTTGCCTAAATAATTCATATTTTCAGATGGTATATTATGTTTATTATGTATTATGTACATTTAATCACATAATCTTTAAACGGTTATACATATTTGTGTCCAAGTCAGCAGACAGTATATGCGCACAGTGGAGGCTACTTAAGTCAGATAGTGTTTTGTCTGAATTAATCAGCGTAATCCAAAGTCAATACATGAATTAGCACCCAGTTGTCTTCATTGTGCGACCTATTACAGCACCAATTACAGGAGCATATGTAAAGGCCTGAAAAGAATGCTCAGTGATCATTTACAAACAAAAAAGGTGATCGTCTCTTTATAAATTTATGAACTGTAGTTTTCTTTCCCCCCATACAGTTGGCAATTAGGTCAGACTTCTTGATGTTGAATCTTCTGGCTGGTTCTTGTAGGGGAATCCCAGGCGGATCCTGCTTGACTTTTTCTAAAACTTCCAGTTTCTGCGGGAGCATTAGAGACACCTTTTTCGACATGATTTTTACACAAACTGACTGCGAGGGATGGAAGTTATAATAACAATAATAATCCTTGCATTTGATATAGCGCTTTTCACGTCTTCTAGACGTCCCAAAGCGGTTCACAGAATATACTGTAAAGTGAATGGACTGTATATTTGTGGGCGAACGCGGCAGCCAATTGCGCACAGCAATGTCCCACAAACAGTCGTGGATTGAAAATGACCAATTTATTATTGTTTTTGGTTTTGGAGGGATTATTATTAGGTGTGTGGAGTAAGGAAACTTGCCCAAGGTTTCGCCCTGACCTGCTGGGGATTGAACTCAGGTCTCTCACTTGCAAAACGAGTGCTCTAACCAGCCCCTGGGGGTCGGGTCAGGAGCTCAGCCCCTGGGGGTCGGGAGCTCAGCCCCTGGGGGTCAGGTCAGGAGCTCAGCCCCTGGGGGTCAGGTCAGGAGCTCAGCCCCTGGGGGTCAGGTCGGGAGCTCAGCCCCTGGGGGTCAGGTCGGGAGCTCAGCCCCTGGGGGTCGGGTCGGGAGCTCAGCCCCTGGGGGTCGGGTCGGGAGCTCAGTCCCTGGGGGTCGGGTCAGGAGCTCAGCCCCTGGGGGTCAGGAGCTCAGCCCCTGGGGGTCGGGTCGGGAGCTCAGCCCTGGGGGTCGGGAGCTCAGCCCCTGGGGGTCAGGTCAGGAGCTCAGCCCCTGGGGGTCAGGTCAGGAGCTCAGCCCCTGGGGGTCGGGTCGGGAGCTCAGCCCCTGGGGGTCAGGTCAGGAGCTCAGCCCCTGGGGCTCAGGTCGGGAGCTCAGCCCCTGGGGGTCAGGTCGGGAGCTCAGCCCCTGGGGGTCGGGTCGGGAGCTCAGCCCCTGGGGGTCGGGTCGGGAGCTCAGTCCCTGGGGGTCGGGTCGGGAGCTCAGTCCCTGGGGGTCGGGTCAGGAGCTCAGTCCCTGGGGGTCGGGTCAGGAGCTCAGCCCCTGGGGGTCAGGAGCTCAGCCCCTGGGGGTCGGGTCGGGAGCTCAGCCCCTGGGGGTCGGGAGCTCAGCCCCTGGGGGTCAGGTCAGGAGCTCAGCCCCTGGGGTCAGGTCAGGAGCTCAGCCCCTGGGGGTCGGGTCGGGAGCTCAGCCCCTGGGGGTCGGGTCGGGAGCTCAGCCCCTGGGGGTCGGGTCGGGAGCTCAGTCCCTGGGGGTCGGGTCGGGAGCTCAGCCCCTGGGGGTCGGGTCGGGAGCTCAGTCCCTGGGGTCGGGTCAGGAGCTCAGCCCCTGGGGGTCAGGAGCTCAGCCCCTGGGGGTCGGGTCGGGAGCTCAGTCCCTGGGGGTCAGGAGCTCAGCCCCTGGGGGTCAGGAGCTCAGCCCCTGGGGGTCGGGTCGGGAGCTCAGCCCCTGGGGGTCGGGTCGGGAGCTCAGTCCCTGGGGGTCGGGTCAGGAGCTCAGCCCCTGGGGGTCAGGAGCTCAGCCCCTGGGGGTCGGGTCGGGAGCTCAGTCCCTGGGGTCAGGAGCTCAGCCCTGGGGGTCAGGAGCTCAGCCCCTGGGGTCGGGTCGGGAGCTCAGTCCCTGGGGGTCGGGTCAGGAGCTCAGCCCCTGGGGGTCAGGTCGGGAGCTCAGTCCCTGGGGGTCGGGTCAGGAGCTCAGCCCCTGGGGGTCAGGAGCTCAGCCCCTGGGGGTCGGGTCAGGAGCTCAGCCCTGGGGTCGGGTCAGGAGCTCAGTCCCTGGGGGTCGGGTCAGGAGCTCAGTCCCTGGGGGTCGGGTCAGGAGCTCAGTCCCTGGGGTCGGGTCAGGAGCTCAGCCCCTGGGGGTCGGGTCGGGAGCTCAGCCCCTGGGGGTCGGGTCAGGAGCTCAGCCCCTGGGGGTCAGGAGCTCAGCCCCTGGGGGTCAGGTCAGGAGCTCAGCCCCTGGGGGTCGGGTCGGGAGCTCAGCCCCTGGGGGTCAGGTCAGGAGCTCAGCCCCTGGGGCTCAGGTCGGGAGCTCAGCCCCTGGGGGTCAGGTCGGGAGCTCAGCCCCTGGGGTCGGGTCGGGAGCTCAGCCCCTGGGGGTCGGGTCGGGAGCTCAGTCCCTGGGGGTCGGGTCGGGAGCTCAGTCCCTGGGGGTCGGGTCAGGAGCTCAGTCCCTGGGGGTCGGGTCAGGAGCTCAGCCCCTGGGGGTCAGGAGCTCAGCCCCTGGGGGTCGGGTCGGGAGCTCAGCCCCTGGGGGTCGGGAGCTCAGCCCCTGGGGGTCAGGTCAGGAGCTCAGCCCCTGGGGGTCAGGTCAGGAGCTCAGCCCCTGGGGGTCGGGTCGGGAGCTCAGCCCCTGGGGGTCGGGTCGGGAGCTCAGCCCCTGGGGGTCGGGTCGGGAGCTCAGTCCCTGGGGGTCGGGTCGGGAGCTCAGCCCTGGGGGTCGGGTCGGGAGCTCAGTCCCTGGGGGTCGGGTCAGGAGCTCAGCCCCTGGGGGTCAGGAGCTCAGCCCCTGGGGGTCGGGTCGGGAGCTCAGTCCCTGGGGTCAGGAGCTCAGCCCTGGGGGTCAGGTCAGGAGCTCAGCCCCTGGGGGTCGGGTCGGGAGCTCAGCCCCTGGGGTCGGGTCGGGAGCTCAGTCCCTGGGGGTCGGGTCAGGAGCTCAGCCCCTGGGGGTCAGGAGCTCAGCCCCTGGGGGTCGGGTCGGGAGCTCAGTCCCTGGGGTCAGGAGCTCAGCCCTGGGGGTCAGGAGCTCAGCCCCTGGGGGTCGGGTCGGGAGCTCAGCCCCTGGGGGTCGGGTCGGGAGCTCAGTCCCTGGGGGTCGGGTCAGGAGCTCAGCCCCTGGGGGTCAGGAGCTCAGCCCCTGGGGGTCAGGAGCTCAGCCCCTGGGGGTCGGGTCGGGAGCTCAGTCCCTGGGGGTCAGGAGCTCAGCCCCTGGGGGTCAGGAGCTCAGCCCCTGGGGGTCGGGTCGGGAGCTCAGTCCCTGGGGGTCGGGTCAGGAGCTCAGCCCCTGGGGGTCAGGTCGGGAGCTCAGTCCCTGGGGGTCGGGTCAGGAGCTCAGCCCCTGGGGGTCAGGAGCTCAGCCCCTGGGGGTCGGGTCAGGAGCTCAGCCCCTGGGGGTCGGGTCAGGAGCTCAGTCCCTGGGGGTCGGGTCAGGAGCTCAGTCCCTGGGGGTCGGGTCAGGAGCTCAGTCCCTGGGGGTCGGGTCAGGAGCTCAGCCCTGGGGGTCGGGTCAGGAGCTCAGCCCTGGGGGTCGGGTCAGGAGCTCAGTCCCTGGGGGTCGGGTCAGGAGCTCAGTCCCTGGGGGTCGGGTCAGGAGCTCAGTCCCTGGGGGTCGGGTCAGGAGCTCAGTCCCTGGGGGTCGGGTCAGGAGCTCAGCCCCTGGGGGTCGGGTCGGGAGCTCAGCCCCTGGGGGTCGGGTCGGGAGCTCAGCCCCTGGGGGTCGGGTCCTCAGCCCCTGGGGGTCGGGTCCTCAGCCCCTGGGGGTCGGGTCCTCAGCCCTGGGGGTCGGGTCCTCAGCCCCTGGGGGTCGGGTCGGGAGCTCAGCCCCTGGGGGTCGGGTCGGGAGCTCAGCCCCTGGGGGTCGGGTCAGGAGCTCAGCCCCTGGGGGTCGGGTCGGGAGCTCAGCCCCTGGGGGTCGGGTCGGGAGCTCAGCCCCTGGGGGTCGGGTCCTCAGCCCCTGGGGGTCGGGTCCTCAGCCCCTGGGGGTCGGGTCCTCAGCCCCTGGGGGTCGGGTCCTCAGCCCCTGGGGGTCGGGTCGGGAGCTCAGCCCCTGGGGGTCGGTCGGGGCTCAGCCCTGGGGTCGGGTCAGGAGCTCAGCCCCATGTGAGCCGGAAGTGGCTCGGGGCGGCGCAGTGTCATTTCCGGTGTGCGGGGGGGGGGCACTGATGTCACAGTTAAACAGTGGAATCGCTCCGTGTTTTGGTTCCCCCCCACACAGGCCCCGCCCCCCACCCACGGGCCCCGCCCACACAAGCCCCGCCCCCCACCCACAGGCCCCGCCCCCCGCGCGATAGGAAGATGGCGGCGTTGTCGGAGGCGGGAGAGTCGGAGCGGGAGCGGGAGCGGGATCAGGGGGGAGCCGGGCCGGCGGCGGGGGCCTGGGCCCGGGCCGGGCTGGAGGTGGCGGCCCCGGGCTCCAGGCCGCTGCGGCTGCTGGAGTGGAGCGTCAAAGTGGGCTCGGCCGTGCAGCTCGGGACGGTGCTCGCTCACTGCCTCCCCGTGGAATACGACAAGAGCTCGGGCGGCTCTGACCACGAGAAGCCCAGGTCTCCAGCCAAGCCTCGGCCCCTGGAGAAGCGGGTGAAGTCGGACCGGGCCGGGGTAGTGACGGAGCTTTGCTGGCAGCTCGGCCAGGTGGTACCTCCCGGGTAAGAGCAAGATAATGGAGTGGAGCAGCCAGGACTGGAACATTACAGGGCACTGGATCACACCGGACTGGAACTGAACAGCGCAATATGGGAACACGGGGTACACAGTGCGATACAACAGGGAATGATGGCATAGAAAATGGGGCACAATGGGATAGAGCAGAAATGATAGATCAGAACAGGGCATAATGGAGTATAACATGGAATGATGGGATAGAATATGGGGCACAGAGTCCTGTAGCTCAGTGGTTAGAGCACTCGCTTTGCAAGTGAGAGACCTGAGTTCAATCCCAGGCAGAGGGCGAAACCCTGGGCAAGTTTCCTTACTCCACACAGAGCCTAATAATAATCCCTCCAAAACCCCAAACAATAATAAATTGGTCATTTTCAATCTACTACTGTTTGTGGGACATTGCTGTGCGCAATTGGCTGCCGCGTTCGCCCACAATTATACAGTGTGTTCTGTGAAGCGCTTTGGGACGTCCTCCCGACGTGAAAAGCGCTATATCAAATGCAAGGATTATTATTATTATTATTAATGCAATGGAACAGGGGGTGTAATGGAGTAGAACATGGAATGATGGAATAGAACAGAATAATGGAACAGAACCGAGGTCATAATGCAATAGAGCAGAGGGCATAATGGGATAGAATATGGCATATAATGATGGAACAGAACCTGGGGCATAACTGCATAGAATATGGAACATAATGGAATAGAACTGTGAATAATGGAATTGTATATGGGGTGTAATGGAATAGAATGGGGACGGGAGGAGGGGCCCCCCCGACGGGGACGGGAGGAGGGCCGACGGGACGGGAGGAGGGCCCCCCCCGACGGGGACGGGAGGAGGGGCCCCCCCGACGGGGACGGGAGGAGGGGCCCCCCCGACGGGGACGGGAGGAGGGGCCCCCCCGACGGGGACGGGAGGAGGGGCCCCCCGACGGGGACGGGAGGAGGGGCCCCCCGACGGGGACGGGAGGAGGGGCCCCCCCGACGGGGACGGGAGGAGGGGCCCCCCCGACGGGGACGGGAGGAGGGGCCCCCCCGACGGGGACGGGAGGAGGGGCCCCCCCGACGGGGACGGGAGGAGGGGCCCCCCCGACGGGGACGGGAGGAGGGGCCCCCCGACGGGGACGGGAGGAGGGGCCCCCCGACGGGGACGGGAGGAGGGGCCCCCGACGGGGACGGGAGGAGGGGCCCCCCGACGGGGACGGGAGGAGGGGCCCCCCGACGGGGACGGGAGGAGGGGCCCCCCCGACGGGGACGGGAGGAGGGGCCCCCCCGACGGGGACGGGAGGAGGGGCCCCCCCGACGGGGACGGGAGGAGGGGCCCCCCCGACGGGGACGGAATGGATGGGAATGATAAAACCCTATATCCACAATCTCAGTGATTAATTCCTGCACAGCATTACCAGTATCAACAGGAATGAATGGTAAATAAACTCGTGGGTGCGACGTGTAACTGGCATAGACTGGAGCAGGGGATGGAGTGGCATCAGTGGGAAGGAAGAATGGAACTCAGTGGATTGCATTTGAAAGTCAACTCCGCAGCCACTTACTGTACAAAAGTCAGTGCAATTCTGTAGTCTCTGGGCACACTCAGCAGGTCAGGCAGCATCTATGGAAAAAGGAAAGTGAGTCTGTGTTTCGGGTCCACGACCCTTCGTCAGATCTGCTGAGTGTGTTCCCAGCAATTTCTGTTTTTGTTTCAGATCTCCAACAATCTGCAGTATTTTGTGTTTTGTCAGTGCAAATCTGTGTTTGTTTTTATTTTTGTGAAGATTATTTTTGCTTTCCAACAGTTTGACAGAGTGTGCTGTGATGTTAGAGAAGGGGTGCGTTTTTTTCTCAATATGAGAGTTCCTGTCTTAAACAGTGTCGGATTTAGGGGTAAAATGGGTAGTTTTACCCACAACTTCGCCCACAAATGTACAGTCAATTCACTTCACAGTGTAATCTATGAAGTGCTTTGAGACGTCTCGAAGACGTGATAAAGCGCTATATCAAATGCAACGATTACAACAACAACAAGATTCCATTTACAGAGCGCCTTTCACGTCGGGAGGACGTCCCAAGGCGCTGAAATTATCATATTATTATCAAACCGCAGAATATTGCAGATGCTGGAAATCTGAAACAAAAACAGGAGTCGCTGGGAACACTCAGCAGGTCAGGCAGCATCTATGGAGAGAGGAAAGTGAGTCAGTGTTTCGGGTCCACGACCCTTCGTCAGAACTGGACGAAGGGTTGTGGACCCGAAATGTTGTAGAACAGGGAACTTCTGTTTTTGTTGCAAATATTATTATTACTATATTATTATTTATCTGAGTTTTCCTATCAAAAATGTAAGTGTTATTATTGTTGAGTTGGGCCAATAGAAAGGACCACCGTCCGCCACAAATGGAGTATCCGGCCCGCGGGCCGCTCGCGCTGTTTACTGACGTCACTGTGGGCGGGGAGGCTCCGGACGTGCGTGCGCAACGCAAGTGGCGAATGGGCGGCACTCGGAGGCCGCAGTGTTGTCAGTGTCAGTGTCTGTGTATCAGTGTATCAGTGTCCCTTCTATATGTGTGAGTGTGTGTCTGTGTCTCTGAGTGTATGTGTCTCTCTCTGAGTGTCCCTCTGTGTGTGTCTGTGTGTGTGTCCCTCTGTGTGTGTGTGTCTGTGTGTGTGTGTCTCTCTGTGTGTGTCCCTCTGTGTGTGTCTGTGTGTGTGTCCCTCTGTGTGTGTGTGTGTCTGTGTGTGTCTGTGTGTGTCCCTCTGTGTGTCTCTCTGTGTGTGTCTCTCTGTGTGTGTCCCTCTGTGTGTGTGTGTGTGTGTCCCTCTGTGTGTGTGTCCCTCTGTGTGTGTGTGTGTCTGTGTGTGTGTGTGTCTCTGTGTGTGTGTCTCTCTGTGTGTGTCTGTGTGTGTGTGTGTCTGTGTGTGTGTGTCTGTGTGTGTGTGTCCCTCTGTGTGTGTGTGTCTCTGTGTGTGTGTGTCTGTGTGTGTGTGTCTCTGTGTGTGTGTGTGTCTGTGTGTGTGTGTGTCTCTGTGTGTGTGTGTCTGTGTGTGTGTGTGTCTGTGTGTGTGTGTGTCTCTGTGTGTGTGTGTGGTGTGTGTGTGTCTCTGTGTGTGTGTCCCTCTGTGTGTGTGTGTGTCTGTGTGTGTGTGTCTCTGTGTGTGTGTCTCTCTGTGTGTGTGTGTGTCTCTCTGTGTGTGTCTCTCTGTGTGTGTGTGTGTGTGTCCCTCTGTGTGTGTGTGTCTCTGTGTGTGTGTCCCTCTGTGTGTGTGTGTGTCTGTGTGTGTCCCTCTGTGTGTGTGTGTGTCTCTCTGTGTGTGTCCCTCTCTGTGTGTGTGTGTCCCTCTGTGTGTGTGTGTGTGTGTCTCTCTGTGTGTGTGTGTGTGTCTCTCTGTGTGTGTGTGTGTGTCTCTGTATGTGAGAGTATCTCTGTGGGTGTCTGTGTCAGTGTGCAGTGTCAGCCCTGAGAGGCAGGAGTGGTGAGTCCCTGTAGCCTCGCTGGTGAGGTCCCACCCCCCCCCCCACCCCACCAGAAAAAAATGGTCACCCAGTTTTTATTAAAGAAGCAATTAATTTTTGGCAACAATCTAATATGTGTTATTTCCTTATGTTCAATTTTTTTTAACCAATAAAGTGAAAAAACCTAGCAGTAAAATGTACCTCAATAGAACCAATCAAAGCCCTCCGCAGTTTTCTGCAAGACTGGCAAATATGTTTGCATTTTTCTATTGGCCCAGTTCATGAGTTATGGATGTAGGTGAAATAAGTGTGGAAGCCATTCCAGTACTTGAGATCATTTTGTTTTGGAAACATCTGTTCTGTGGGAGGTTAAGTGAAGTTAAAAAAAAAGACGTATGTTCACTCCAGAGTGCAGAGTTTTAGAAACAATAACATTGAATTGAGATTCTGACCACAGCTGTAGAGAAAGAATTTTTAATTTGGTGCTGCACAAAGTACAGTATTTTATTTGATACGTTTGTTTATGTTTTTGTATTGTGCTCCTTCTGAAGATGGAGTATTGCAACATTTTCATGACATCATGTGACCAGAAAATGGACTCGGGAGGGAATGGTATAACATTATACGTGTTATAAAATTACTGGATAGTGCTGCTATGATCGCAGTAGATAATTAGGCGTCGATACTGGTAAACAAAGCAAGTTGAAAACCGACTGGTTATATTCTAATGTAATGAAGAGAAGGATATTTTTACAAAAAAAACTCACTTTCATAAACAACACTGGAGGGTTTACAATGTTACCAATTTGTTTTCCCTACTTAGAAAGTCTGAACTGAGTTTATCATTAACATACATGTTTAAATGTTTATTTTAAAAAATGCAGCATCAACACATGGAGCTGTTTATCATATGCGTACGCACATGAATATGAGAGTTACTGAGGCTTCAATAATCCCTCTCGTAAACTTGTGGTTGTTAACCCTTTGGTGTGGTGTTGCCACATACGAACTGCAGTTCTTAGTGATTGCTATTGCAGTAAGCAGCAGAAAGGCAACAGGAACAACAATAGATTCAAATTGCACACAGAAAATCTGAATAAAAGTTGGCTTGTCAACAGAAGTCATGAGACACAATCTCATCATGTGGGGGGGGAGAGAAAAGAAAATAATAATCTGTACAAATATTGGTTTCTGAGCTTGTAATCCTCTGGCCTCATTGATGAGATAGCCCCTGGTAGTTAGTCCTTAATATCCATTAATCTCAACAAGTTTTGCTTTAATTTCGAATTCTATAATCACTTGTGCCAAAGCACTTTTTCCTTTCAAGTGTTTGTCATCCATGTACACAAATGCGCAGTCACTGTACTTCACAGTAAATTGTGTGAAGTGTTTTGGGACATCTTCCCAACTGGAAAAGCTCCATACCCAATGTGAGAATTATTATTGTTATTTGAGTTTCCTTAATAGGGGTGGGGTGGGTGGAACATGCACAATACTTTGCCCCACCCTCACCCACAATGTAGTGCCCAACTCAACGCC